GGTTAGAAATGAAGAGGTATTGGAAAGAATAGGAGAACAGAGGACTCTATGGAAGTCAATAAAAAATAGGCGAGATAGGTTGGTAGGACACCTTCTTAGGCATGAAGGTCTAATCAGAGACATATTAGAGGCAGAAACAGGAGTTAGGATGGGTAGAGGTAGGCATAGGTTAGATTACTGCTCACAAATGGTTAAGGATGTGGGTTGTTCTAGTTTTAGAGAAATGCGAAGTTTAGCTCAGAATAGGAAAGAGTGGAGGTATGTGTCCAACCAGTCTTAGGACTGACGACCTTATGATGATGATGAAATTGTATAATTAGGCGAAAGTTTTACAATAAGTCAGTCAAATTTTATAGATGTGTCTCGTATGCATTTCAAAACTTACCTTTTTACACTATTACCGCTGAAAATCCGTTTAAAAATTAGATGAGAAATAAAATATTATTTTTAAGGATGTATGACTTTTGACGGTTCTAAAAAATGGTTAAAAAACTTTTTTTCTCGTACTTTGTTTGACTCACGCATGTAATTAGAAAGGCTTTGATGTATATTTTATGCTTGAAGCCAATAAGTCAATTACCTAAATCAATTAATTTATTATCTCTTCTAATTCAAGTTTACTGACTTACCTAGATCTTTGTCTTCCCATGTCTGTTTCGCTTCTAACAGAGCATTATAAACATCCTTGCTGGGCTCCAATCCGGAGAAAACATAATATCTTGCACGTATTCTTCTAAAGAAGTCGACGGCGCAATAATTCGAATTTCCAAAGTGAGGAACGTATGTGAGATCGACGTAAACAGGTGTGTACTTTTTACTCTTCTTAGAATCCATCATTTTCTTGTCTTCGTTCAATTTATTTTTGGCCAATACGTTGGGCGGTATTTTTCGTTCCTTTTTAGGAGTCCCCTTGTTATCGTTCAAAGGCGCGGGACTTGGCAAACCCAGCGGTTTACCCCACGATTTTACTACGTCATCTACTTTATCTTTATCACCTTCAGAACTCTGAGGGCGGGTTTCTTTAGGTAGTTCGCCTATAAAACTAGACGTCATCAAGTCTTGACTTCTCCCATCACTACTTTTACCTGCTTCCGACATCACAGTATATTTAGCCGTAGTTACTTCGTACATGTAACTTGGTGACGTAGAACCAAACAGATGATCACCACGATCATCTATCATTGCTTTATCAAAATCTAGATCGGCTTCGTCTAATAATCTACTGGACTTCATTTCGTCTTCTTTCGAATCTTCTGGTAGAGCTCCGTACAGAGACATGCTCATTGGATCGAATTTGCTCATCAGTTTTACACTGTCATCTTCTAAATCGTGCGAAGAACTGGACGCAGCCACCTGAGAGGTTGTGCTTAGTGGAGTGCCTGGTAGATCGTCGTCGTCACTAAGGTTTTGTTTATCACTTTCCCAAACCACTTTAGAAAACTGACTAGAACTAAGATCACTATGTTCGAGATCGTCACTTGCTGGAGTTGAACTTCTCAAATCTAACACTTTCACAGAAGACACGGTTTGACTAATGCCTTCTTCCTTAACAATGGGACTGACTGGAACAGTAGGTGGGGTCGATGCCTTCAAGTCTGAAACATCCTGAACAGTTTCTAATTCGGCTATATCAGGAGTTGATTTTCCACTCCATGTAAGCTCATCTTTATGGTGGATACTAGTTGACATAATAACCGATTCTGTCATTTTTCCGGAAGGTCCAGATATCGTTGTCTCTATTTTTGTTATGGTTACTTTTTCGGGTTCGAGCATGGTTGCTACCTTTTCCGTGTCTAAAAATGCACTTACAGTAGATTTTATATCTTTAGAATCCAATGCACTTGTCTCATCCTTTTGTGCTTGATCGTGTTTTGTTATTTTTGTATCTGTGCTTGTTGTTTTAGTTGAAATAATTTCTTCAGAATCTTTCGAATGAGCTTCCTTTGATTCTGAAACAAGTTTTTCAATGAATTCAGATTTTTCTTCTACTAATCCCTTCAATCCTTCGGAGACATGTTTGCTTTCTGTCTCTATTTTTTCGCGGATGCCGGAAAATGTTTCGCCTAATTTAGTGGAACTCTCATCTATCAATTTTTTAGCATCGGATACTACTTTTTCTACACTTCCACTAACAAATTCTGACGTGTGTTTATCAATTTTTGAATCTTTTGTTGTTTCTGTATGTTCTTTTGTCTCTCTTAATTCTCCTTTTAGGTCAGTTGTTTCTTTCTTTTCGGTAGCAAACTTTTCTGATTTTATATCTGTAGCGCCTTGATGAATTTCATGACTTAACGAGTCTATTTTCGCGTGGTCAGATTTTATTTCTTTCAGTTCTTCATGTTTGGATTCAGACGTGTCAAATCCATTAAATTTTGCTTCTATTGTGCTGGTTATGCTGGATGCTATTTTTCCAATTGTTTCTGAAATTGTTTCGTGATGTTTTACAGTTTCAGATGATTTTCTAATGTCCATACTGTCATGTTCAAGTTTAGTTTGTTTTTCCTTTGATAATGATTTTTCTTCTGTTTTCATTTCGGTTGTTTTGAATGCTGCAGTTTCTTTATGATGCTCGAAATCGTAATCTTCTCTCATTGCATCTTCCAGTTTTTGTTCTATTGTCGTGTCTGCTTCATGAAATAGTTTTGTTTCTATGGTGTGACCAATGTCAGATGCAATTTTTTCTATTCCACCTATAATGCTTTCAGTTAAGCTCTGTTTCTTTTTGTGTGTTTTACTTTCTTCTTTTTCATGAAGTACGTCCTGAGATTCCGATGGGGAAGAACCTTTGGACTCTAAAGTTTCGCTCGTTTGCGATAGTTCTTCTGAAACTGTTTCTTGTTTTCCATGGGGTGGATGTGTTTCTTCTTTGGCTACCTTTTCACTGTGAGTTTCACTTAATTCTACCTTTTTTGATTCTGATTCCATTTGTGCGTGAGGAGGTGCTTTTGGTTCACCAATGTGAATATACTTTTCAATGCCGTCAATTATTTTTTCTGATATACTTTTTCTTCTTTCGTGAGTTTCGGCGGCAGGTTTTTCTTTTATTTCGTGTTCATCATGTAAAACGTCTTTACTGATTTTGTCTTCTTTGGTTTTCTTATGATCGAGTGAACTTTCTTCTTTGGTTTCTATTGATTTTAATTCCTCATGCTCGTGTACAGAACTCTCTTTTCTATCTGTGTGATGAGATTCGTGGAACAGTTTTGATTCGATTGAGTGGCCAACTTTTTCAATTCCTTCTATGATGTTTTCTGTTATACTCTTTTTCTTCTCGTGCTCTTTGCTTATTGGGTCATGTTCATGAGGACTTGAGATTTCTTTTGTTGGTGTATCTTTTTCGTGTAGGCCAGTTTTTTTAGATTCTTCCTTAACTTCAGCTAATTGCGACACTGTAGGTACCTCTTCTGTTCTTTCGTGTTCAGAATGTGTACTTGTTTCATGGAATAATTTTGTTTCTATTGTGTGGCCAATGTCAGAAGCGATTTTTTCAATACCTTCTATAAAACTCTCAGATAAACTTTTCCTCCTAGTGTGGTCTTCTGTTTCTTTTTTGGGACTGTGTTCTTTTGATTTGGTTTGAGAAACATCTGTAGACTTCTCGTCTGGTTTCTGACTGTCATCAGATTCAGTGTCTACTTTTTTTTCTTTTTTGGAAATATCACTTTGGGATTCCTCTTTTTTGGATCTATCTGCTGAATGGGCTTCGTCAAATAATGTTGTGCTTATTACACCACCAATACCTGTCATTATTTTCTCTACTCCTTCGAATATTCTTTCTCCAATGTTCTCCTTCTGAACTCCTTTTTCTTCTTCTTCCTCTTCTTCCTCCTCAATGTGTTCGCTTTCGCTAAGAGGAGGTCCTGTAATATGAGTTTCCCGTAGTTCTGTTATAAATCCTTCAGTGGATGGTTCTATATCAATATCGATGGGGATTTTCCCCCTGAATTCTTCAAGAGGCGCATCTGACTTTAAAACTTCAGCAACACTTGCTACGATTTTGAAAACATCTTCTTCCCTTTCCTTTGGCGATTTGCAGCCCAAATCTTTCTTATCAAATGTTTCATCTAGAAGTTTTGGGATATCAGTTGTTAAAGTTTCGTGTTTCTCTTTTGCTTCGTCTAAGATTGTTATTTTCATTTTTTGTAGTTGACTATCAATTTTGGCAATGTCTTCGAGGTCTTTTTTACGCGCTTCCATATCACTTCCGCTCTTGTGAACTTCTACTTCTATTTTCTTTGAATCGTCTACAGTGGGTAGTTTATCGTCTGGCGTTTTAGCTTCGGACAGTTTAGATCCAATTAATGTGCTTATTTCTTTTTCTTTGGTAATTGTCTCGTGATGTATGGAGTCTGACACTGGAGAAATGATTTTTTCACTTTCGATCAATTTTTGCGTCATGTCTTTTGAGTCCAATTTGGTTGTTTCTACATCATGTTCTATTTTGTGGATTGTCATTGCTTCTGTGGTGGCTGACTTTTCTTTTTCTATTTTCGCGAGATCACTTTTTTGTTTATCATCAGTCTCTTCGTGTTTGTCAGCTGCAATTTCATGACTTACTTGGGCAGTAACTTTTTCTTTTGTTTCACTTGGAGCATGTTCGGGGGATTTTTCTGCAAGCGCTTTAATACTTTCTTCTGAAATCGTTTCTTTTATTTCATCTTTGACAACTTCTTTTGAAATTTCTATTTTGTGCTTTTCAGGCGAAATCTTCTCTCCCTTTTGTTCTATTTCCTTTGTTCTAGCTTCACTTTCGATAATTCCTGATGGAGATAATTTCTTAGCAATTATATCTCCATGCTCCTTTTCATCTCGTGGACTATCCTCTTTGTGTATATCAGTCGAATCCTCAACAACTACTTCCGATTCCTTTGAAGTGGTTTCAGTTTCGCTAATATCAGGGGAACTTTTTGTGTCTGGACTTTTTTCTTTGCCCTTGTCTATTGACTCACGTTTGACCACAGTTATTTCTTTTTCTAAATCGATTTGTTTTTCGTCTTTTTTGTCGACTTTAGGCACTTCAGGTTTTATGGTGAGACCCAGCGTTTCTGCTTTTTGATCTGATACCTTATCACTTTCTTTTTCTTCTGATTTTGGTAGAGAAATTATATCACTGTCTGTCTTTTTAGAATCGGTTTCTTTTACTTCTGGCATTTTGTCTGTTTTTTCAGGTATCACAGTAGTGTCAACTTCAGTTGGTGACTTTTTACCTATGACCAGTTCATCATCTTTTTGAGTATCAACTTTCTTTTCAATTACAGAAGGTTCTTTTTCAGTGACTTTAGATTCCTTTGTTGTTGTTACTTCGGTAATCGTTTCACTTTTTCCAGGAGATACTTGTTCCTGTTGGTCTCTTTTTAATGTTACCAATTTATCATCTTTTTCAGGTTCCTTCTCTTTTTCAGTTGTCTCCGTTTGTTCTTTTAAATCATGTGACTTGGTAACTTCTGATTTTAATATATCTGTAGTTTCCTCTTTTAACATTTCTTTATGTTTTTCTAATTCATCTTTACTTGTAGATTCTGATACTTTCTGTTTGTCATCTAATTCTGACTTTCTTATTTCTGCAGTTTCTTCTTCTTTGTCTTTAGTCAAGTCAATAGACTTCTTTCTTTCTTCTACTATGTCCTGCTTAATTGTTTCCTTTTCCTCAGTGGGAGGGGTAGGGCTTACAATATTTACTTCTGGAGATTTTTCATCTGATTTTACTTTATGTAGATCTATATCTAAAGTTAATTTTCCTACCTTTGTACTGCCTATTAATTTGTCGTCGTCATCTTTGACTACTACTTTCTCTGGAAATTGTGGTAATTCTTTCTTAATTTCCTCTTTTGTCACAAATATCGTATCTTTAGGATGATCTGCGTCAATACTTTCGTCTTCGTGATGATATTCCTCTTTTGTTATGATGATTTCTTGTTGCGGTTCTATTTTAGTTTTGTCTTTCACTCCGAGGGCGTGTGATTTTAATTTTTCATCAACAATTTCTTCTTGTGTGGCTTTATGTTCTTTTTGCTCCTTCTCATCGGAAATTATCTTTTCTTGCTTTAATGTAGTAATTTCTTCGTATTTGTCTTTAATTTTGTCCTGGAGTTCCTCCATGCTTCGATCTTGTGCTTTTATTAATAAATCAAGTTCCTTTTCCAAATTAGAGATGTCATCTAGTTTATCATCAATTTTATCTTCCAGTTTTTCGACTTTTTGGTCTTGTTCTTTCGATGGTGAATCGCCTTTCTTCTCCAATTTGGAAAGATCTTCATGTATGTCTTCTGGTTTTTCCAACACTTTCTCTAGCTCTTTAAGTGGAGAACCAACTTTCATATCTAATTTGGATACATCATCATGTTTATCGACAACTTCTTCTTCATGTTTCTCATGCTGTTTAACTGGTTCTTGCGGTGGTGAGTCAACTTTCTTCTCCAACTTGACAATGTCTTCATGTTTATCGACAATTTTTTCTTCATGTTCCTCGTGCTGCTTCGCTGCTTCTTGCGGTGGTGAGTCAACTTTCTTCTCCAATTTGGAAACGTCTNAAATTTTTATTTTCATACAGATCCCATACATTAATTGCAATTGAATATATGTTGACATTTCAAAGCTAAACAAACAGATGTCTTGACTAGAAAGCTATTAATATTGATATATATTTAATTCAAATAAACGCATTCATTGCCGCAACGTAATAAAATACCCTGGATGATATTTCAATGTGAATTTTCACTGCTGTGCGATTGTGAAGTTACACAAGAAAAAAAAACGAAATACAGTTACATATTAAACAATGTCCTGCGAAAATAACAGCACGGGGGCGTGTAGAGCGATCGAGAATTTGAACTGATCATGTATATTAATGTGTTAATATATCTTTTCAACATTATTTTACAGTCAAAATAGCAATAAATATAACTATCACTGTATCTATTTTAAACCTATGGAATAATTCTTAAACAACAACCGCTCTATGGCGCGTGAACACTAATCGAGATGGAGATACCACTTCGTGTGGGTATTGTTGTCTTTTTCTTTGGTTTGATCGTCTTATTGTTAGTAGCTTTGTCATTTCGTACAGGGTGATTAAAAATTTTACACAAAAACAAATGAGGATTCTTTTGTGCAGAAAGATCTTGTCGAGATTGATTTTTGACCTGTATTTTAATGGGAGACAATGATTAGCAAGGAGAGTCTTATGTCTATTAAAAAAGGCAGTCTTTTGAATTTTCATCGCAGACTATACGTATGTATACACTATACGGTAATTTAACTAACTAGTTCCAGTCACTATACAGGAGATGTCTATTTTTTAACGAGATCCGTGGGTTTCTCATCAGAGATGAATGAATGTCATCGAAAAATAATCACCCTGTATAGGCAATAGGTACGTCTCTTTCTATTGCCGAACTCATTTCAAAATCCCGTCGCATATACTCACCGAAAAAGTAAATTACATAGCTCTAATAATACGTTAAAAATAAAAAATAAAATTCACATAAAAATACCTATCACAGGCAATACTCTTCATTTCATCATTAAATACATCACTTTCGTCAGTCCGTTGAAGCGACTGACTTAGCACCAGACTTAACCCTTATCATAGTTAATTACGTATAGGTACTGCGCAAGCTCGAGTTGTGTTCTGTTTTTATCATTTTTATTATTCTTATTAGTGTGAGGCTCATCGTTTGACAATCGTCGATGTCTAGACTTGCACACACCATGGCCCCTACTTTTAATAAACAACGGAAGATTTAAAACAATCGCTCTTCAACAATACTATCGATCGAGTTTCTTTTTTTTTTCTGTCTATAATATAAGTGTAATGTTTTGCGAATAAACAAATTAATGCAAAATCTAAACTCAACGAATGTCAAAGAAAAATTCATCTAAAGCACTTAGGCCAACGAACAGAGTGTTTTCTTATAAGTATAAAAATAACAGCAAGTTTCAAGCTACTGTATTCGCAATAGGGAGATGGTCCAGAATGTTTGGCTCAATCTCGGGAAGTTCAATTGTTCAATGGTCGTAGAAGTTTTAATAGAGTTAACAGCAAAGTTACAACAAGTTAGTTAGGTTTTAACGTGTTTTTTAAAGTTGTTATAAAGAGTCTTAGTGCAGACCTATTTCTTTTTTTTTCTTTCTTTTATCAACAAACGTAAATCTGCATCAGTTTTATTATTATTTATAATTTTGAATGTTGTGTGTATTTAATTTTTTTCACAAACAACGTAACCATTTTTTTTTATAATAACAGCCCTTAAAAATCAGTCAAACATTAGTTTTTTTAAGCGAACGATAACTAACAATTTGAATATAATATCACATTTATAAGTAATAGTGGACATTTAAAGCAATGAAATAATTATATACGTAGCTCTAGCATTAACTTTTTATTACTAAAATAAGTATTATTATTATTATTATTA